GCGAGTTCTGGGCCAGCCTGGTTTTAAAATTTTTTTTTAAAAATTAAACACTATTGAGAAACCAAGTGAGCTTGAGTGTTGACAGAGAAATGAGAAGCCATCTAATTCAGCCAGTGAGAGTGGGTGTTTGCTTTAACTGCCTGTCAATGCATGAGAAGGTGCATTGTAAGCCCAGTTCCAAAGCAAGCTCCTCTTTGGAAATTGGCTTGGCCTCGTACCTCTTTCCGACTGAAAACTACCCTCTCTCTAGTGAGCAACCATTGGTGGTAGTTTCACATGTTAGGTTTACGAAGGACAATTTCTCTTCATCATAATTTGAGATTTATGAAGGCAAAGATCTTTTTGCTGCTATGCTTAATATTCTTACCAAAGCTTAGAAGTGAGCACATTACACTGTCACAAAGGGGGCACCTAACACAGATTGTACCTTGAGACGAGAACCCACAAAGAAACTTTGTTAACGATGTGCGGAAATCAGGTGGGGGTGGAGGGAAAGAAGGAAAACAGAGCAGTAGACAGCACCCATCTTCTGGGTGTGTTGTCCTGAATGTGCTTTATATTATCTTTCCAGTGTGCTTCTCTTTTGTTGTTTGGAGACAGTTTCTCTGTGTAGCTCTGGCTGTCCTGGAACTCTCTTTGTAGACCAGCCTGGTCTCGAATTCAGAGATCCGCCTGCCTCTGCCTCCCAAGTGCTGGGATTAAAGGTGTGCGCCATCACTGCTGGGCTTCCACTTTCTGTTTATGTAGCCCAGCCTGGGTTTGGACTTAAGGTTCTCCTACATTAGGCTCCTCAGTGCTGGTATTTCAGGCCCAGGCTGCCATGCTTAACTCTTCTTTCGCAGAAGGCTGAGGTTGGGAACTATGAAGGATGGGCAGCAAGAAGAGCTAGCAGGGGACAGTTCTAAGCTGAGTTTGTGATAGTAACTTTTTTTTAAAGCTTTTTATTTATTTTTGTGTCTGTGTATGAGCCTGCCTGAATATGTATGTACCATGTGCATGAAGTGCCTGCGGATCCCTGGAGCCACCACACCTGTGCCGGCAGCTGCCGTGAGCACTCTTAACCCCTAGTCCTAGCTCTGGCTCAGTACCTGGTGTTTTATGAACACTGGTGCTTTAGATGCTATATGAATTTGTTATAACAAAACCAGAAATAGCACCAACTGAACACGCTTTCCTCCTTTCTCTCAGAAATGGAGTCCCTGCACAATCGTCCTGCTGCCCAATCCCCTGGTGATAGACCCGATCACTCGTGTGCAAATCCCTTTGTGTTAACTGGCACTATGGGACCACACCACTGCCTTCAGCAGGTCAACGGAAAGTCAAATCTGAAGTAGCTGGGCCAACCCAGATAAAGGACGTGGGTACAGCGCAACAAGAAGCAGGCCTAGACAGGAACACTGCACCAGGCACCACACGGGGGTGCTCTGTTGTGATGGGGAGAATCCCAGTGCAGGCGCGTTAATTAGGACGAACAGGCAGGTCCAGCGTCCATTGCTGCTGGGCGTCTGAGCTGGTGGCTCCTGGCCAGGAATGTATAGCCGACTGGAGGCCCAGAGGGGTGCGGATGACCAGAAGGAACCATCCCCAGCTGAGGCCAGGCTTCCCAGCTGCCCAATGACTCGCGAGATGGGGACAGGGAGGGGAAGTCTGGTAGGGCTTCACAAAGCAAAGGAAATTCTTTACCCTAAGTCATTTTCTAGCGCCATTTCTAGCAGGAAGACACTTTGCGAGACCTCAACCCAGGCAACAAGAGGCCACGAGATGGCAGCAGAAGACGCAACCCGAGGCTTAAAATTCAAGCCAAAAACAGGTCGAGAAAAGGAAAAGAATTCACTTGGGAACTATCGTCAGTTGTATTCAGTGTATTCAAAGTCAGAATAAACGACGGAATTTCAAAGAAATGAGAGTAACATTCACCAGAATGGGTTTCCCCACCCCAGCTCTTACAGGCTTAAGATGCATATGAAGCCACCCAACATGAACTCTCTCTTCAATGGGTAAAAACAAAGAGAATGGGGTGGGGGTCACGACCTTTAAAAACTGACGTCAGCAGGAGCCTAGTCACAATCTCTTTTTGTTAAGTTCTGATTCAAACAAAATGGGTGACCTCCATAGAGGCTGCCAGATCGGTGCAGACGGAGTGGTCATAGGAGCATGGGAGCAATGCGGCAAGCGGTTCCAGAGCAGCCAGGGACTCTGGCCAGTGGTGTGGAGGGCGAAACTTAACAGCCCGAAGAGGAGCCTTCGTGCAACCTCCTGGTTTCTATGCTAATGCACCTGCCACATTCCCTTACCACCCCACCCTCAGCTGAACATCAAAAATCTCTTCAAATATGTAAAATATCCCCAGCAGGCAAAATGACCTTTTCCTGAAAAGCAGTGCACTAGAGGGGTAACTTCATGTTTAACCACTCCAACACACGGCTAATCACAGGAGCTACACACACCATGTTGTACACCCCAAACCAGAATTCTTTTTGTTGTTGATGGTGGTGGTTTTGACTTTTCAAGACAGGTTCTCCCTGTGTAGCCCCGGCGGTCCTAGAACTCGCTCTGTGGATCAAGCTGGTCTCGAACTCACAGTGATCCTTCTACCTCTGTCTCCTGTGTGCAGGATTCAAATCAAATTTTTGTAGTATTATTTGCATAATGCAGAAACTGGCATTGAAATCTACAGAACTACAGGCTGAATTTGACCATTGAACTAAAAAACTATGTCATTATTAATATCTTAAAATTAGAGTATTTTACAAAGTCAAATGAACTAAAAAACTATGTCATTATTAATATCTTAAAATTAGAGTATTTTACAAAGTCAAAATTTCTGAACTTCAAAATGGAAGTCATGGCAGTAGCTGGAGGCGTGTACACACCCCATCCACACTTGGAGTGTGCACCACTGAGTTCCCTCCAGCCCTGTCATCTCCCCCATCACCTTCTTACACAATGCATTTTTGTCCTCTCGAGTGCCTCATAGTTTTAAAGTACTTTTCCCTGTCTGACTCTACTTTAGCCTTATGCTTCAGCAAAAATAAGGAGAAAAAAGATAGAATGGCTATGTGAACAAAGTATAGTTCAGGCAGATTTTACTTGCCCAACCAACAGAACCAGAATCCAGGTTTTCCTGACACCCAGTCTTGTTTTTTTTCCCCCTCCCATCAAGAATTTCACATGGAAGTCATTGAAGTAAACAAGCAGGAATGGGTGTAACTGCTAATAGACAAATTCCACCTATTTAGCAATTCAAGATTCAAATTCCAAACCTTTTCTTTCAGTTATTTCTGCTTCCTCTCATTTCCTACATTACCTTTTCCATGAAACTGAGTGTGGTTTTATGATTTGCTTTGAACGATAAGCTGTGAGGGAAGTTACCATGCAGCACTGCAGAGTTCATGAATTCAGGCTTTTTCACCTGTTGGTAAGGGGGTGGGGTGGGAGAACTTCATGGTGACACGTCGTATATTATGAGGACCTTACTGCGGCTTGGTCGTGCATAGTGGCATATATGCCTGTAATTATCGCACTCACAAACTTGCGGATCAAATGGGAGTTCGAGGCCGGCCTGGTCTACAAGGCAAGTTCCAGCTTCAGCATCGCAGGGATTTTAATAATTTACAATGAACAAAGCCCCTTGCCAGTTACTTTGGACAATAAACGAGAAACAAAACTACTGAGGTCTTGGCTCTGAGCATTCATCATTGTAAAAGACCCATGTGCACGGTCACTGAACATCTCTTAAGATCCAGAATGCAATTTCCAGGTTTCCGATCACAACAGAAACAGCTGGAAGACAACAAATTGCTGGTTTTCCCCCATAGTTTCTTTGGTCACTAGGTCCTGACTTTGAAGAAAGATCTTCTTTTCAGAGCCCTTCACACAGGAGCCCTTCATTCCTGCAGTTTGATTGGGGGAGAGAAAGAATGGGGGAGGCCCAGATTGGGTTCTCTCCATTCCAGAGCCTGATCCCAGAGCTGTCTCCACCCACTAATACTCACACGTAACTTTGTCATAGGGCGACTATTACCACTCCCAAGGTGTCACAAACAGAAAGGATCTGCCGCTGGCGCCACTGCAATGCCAAGGCAAGCCAGCCAGGCTGCGCTCTAGCCTCACTGTACCTGGGCTTGCCTGAGCCCGGAGAAGCAGCATTCTCTAGGGAAAGAAGCCTTCTCAAGTGGGAGCAAAAATGATGTGAGACGAACACCCATCCCGGGCACTATGTGAATTTGGGGTGAGTTCTCTTAGGCCTAGCTTATTTCTACTTTTTAGCAGCGACTAAGCTGCCCCCTGGTGTTATCGGGATCCACCATTTTCCTGGGCTTTCTCCCCAAACCACCCGAGCCTGTCATCTTTGTACACTTGCAGAGGTCACAAGTGGTGTGGGCTCAGTGCAACCAGAGCTTCTGCGACCGCACGGCAGCAGGGATCAAAGGCCCGCCGGGGCAGGCAGAGAGCCCGAGCCTGCGCAGTCCCGCTCCCGCCTTGAAAAGGGTGGTGGCCACGCGGGCTCGGTCGACCAGCGTGCTCGCTCAGAGGCGGGAAAGCCCTAGGTCGGTACCCCCCGCCAGCCCAGCCAGCCCGTCCTCTCCAGCGCCCGGTCCGGGGGGGAGGGGGCGAGGAGGGCCGGCGCCTCTGACTCATCATCTCCAACCCCCTTCTCGCGCGCGCTCCAAGTCTCAGGACTTTGAACCTGGGCACCGGCGCGAGGGGCGCGGCGGCAGCACCTGGGAAAGCGCGGCTCGGCCCCGGCGCCGGCCCCCAGCCTCAGCCAGTGTGGGCAGCTGCGGGCAGGAGGGCTGGAGACCCCCAGCCGGCTGCGGCTGCCCGGCCGCGGTGGCGGCACCGCTGTGCGCGGCGGCCCGCCCGGCTCCTCCCTGCACGCGGGGCCAGTGGTCGCGTCCGAGGAAACTCGGCTAGGCCCTGCTCCCGGCGCCTCGCGTCACTCAGCAGATGCACAGCGCCCCCGCCGCCGAGGGAAGGCTCTTTATTTTCCAGTAGGTCACGGGGTAGCGGGGTATCCTGGGAATTGTAGTCTCCAGTGGCTTAGGCAGGACCCGGATCCAAGGGAGACCCGGAGCACAACCGACGCGGATTCTCGGTTGGCGGGTGCAGCAGCCGGGCTCGGAGTGGATGGGATTGTGAAAGGTCAACAGACGGAAACAGTGAGATGAGGCAGATGTGAATCTGGATGGAGAGGCAGGGAGGAAGGAGGCCAAGAATGCAAGGGAGGAAGCAGCTTGACTAGAAACGAGGTGACAAGATCTTCCTCGAGTGGGGAAGAGAAGAGAGCTGGTCCTGGTTTGAGGAAAAACTGAGGGCACTCCTGTGGGCTTCACGCACATCTTGGGGGAGTTCAGTTATAGTCCGAGGGAGGGGCACGACGCGAAAGTGCCAGGAGAATGCCCCCTTTGGTGGAGGAGGGCAGTGGCCACTCATTCATCTGTTCTATTTCGGGTGCTAGCCACCATGGGACCATCCTCCAAACCGGAAACCTCCTCCATCTCAGAGAGACCCTGAAAACATGTGAGCAAATTTTAGGGTCAAGAAAGGCAAAACTCCAGGTGGAAGCAGAACCCTCCCAGCTTCTCAAGTCTTTCCAATAATACATTAAGGCCGCCTACTAACGTTTGCACACTCGTGTAGTCCCAATCATTAAATACCCAGTTCCTTCACAACCGTTATTAGGGGCATTAACGTCCAATGCCAGAAAGCCGGTCAGCGTCAGCCCTTTATTTCCCTCCTGCCCCACTACAAGGACAGCCAGAAGAAAAATTACCTGGAAGCTGGTGGCTTCATGTTTTCCTCCCTCACCCCCTACCTCCTGTAGCTCCTGGTAGTGCAGACTTGACCTCGTGAAGCATCCTTGCTTCCTCTGGCTCAGCAAGAACAGGGCGTATGTTGAGACCAGCACTCCTCCTAGGGTGAAGGCCTCCGCGCTGAGTTCTAGCACCAGCAACCCTGGCAGCTGCAGGTAGCAGGGTGAGGATGCTTTGGGGGGGTACAGCCCGTTTTCTTCCACCATTTCTCCTCCCTTGTACCTTTCTTTTTATTAACCTGTTCCTGGATGGGGCCAGTAGGGGCAGGCCCCAAGGCTGTCTTCGTCACTTCTATCACCACCACGATGAAGCCCAAGATCAGGTTGAAGGTGTTGGATATCATCATGGCCCGCACCTACCAGTGAGCCAACTCAGCCCTGCCCAGCCTAGGGGACTCATTCCAAGCTTAAACTCCACCTATACCCTAGCTGAAAACAAAACTCAGAGGCAGGACTGGTGGTGGTGGCATAGGCCTGTAATCTAGAAGTCTGAGGCAGGAGGATTTAAAAGTTCAAGGCCTCACTGGACTCCAGAATATGTTCAAGACCATTGAGTAAACTTAGAGGGGAAAGCGCTCAGGGATAGTGTGTGCTACACTGGGAAGTGGGGGGGGGGGGAGAGCTTGTATTCTCTTCTCTCACCTTCCAGAAACAGGGTGCTCTGCGAAGCTCAAGGGTGATGATCCCAGTGAGGAGACCCTGAGTGGTGAGAAGGGGGACATGTGAGCTCTTGTCAGACAGGGGTCCCCAGGATCTTCCTCTCACTCCTTGTGGGTCTCACCGAGGCTCCAGGCCAGAGCGGCAGTGTTGTGGCCATGTGACAGGCAGAGCTCAAGCAGGCCACTGAGATCGTGAAGGGCACCGTGGCTATGGCCAGCCAGAGCTGGCTCACCTGGAGGCCAGAGTTGGGGAATTAGAGGGGACTGGCTGATTCTCTTTCCCCACGTTTTCACCTTTAGATACCAGTAGTTGAGATAAAAGGAAGGTTAAAAAAAAAGGCAGTTAAAGAAGTGAAATTTAAAAATTAGATGCTATTTTTTCCTTCTGCCTCATTTTATAGTTTACTCACCTTTGCGTAAGTACGGCAAGCTACTTGGAAGGGTTTTACCTCGTTCATTTCTACATCCCCTCCTGGCCCCGCACCCCCAGCCTAGCAGAGTTTCTGGTGCAGGGTATGTATTCACTGAATATGGATGGAATTGAACTGGCCAAAACCTGAATCAGGGCAACCTGGCCTCACCGCCACCACCAGTAGGTGTCCACTTTGCCTGTGTCTTGCCCAGTGCTGTAGCTTTTCCAGACGAAGACTGGGCCTCTCCTGCCTCGCCAGATCCGCACTGTGGTCCATGGTTCCCTTGCCGCTAAGGACGGTGCTTCCTGGATTGGAAAAACGCATTATGGGGCCATTCAGGAAATACAACCTCGCTCTTGTTTACCCCTCTGCCAACTCCCAATTCAGAGTCGAGGCCCAGCACGTTACACCTACCTAGTCTGAAGCAGCCACTCCAGAGGGTTGGAACTCAGCTGGTAGCTCAGTGCAGACAAAATTTCCTGGCACGTAGTCTGTCAGAGCTGAGGTGTGGTGGGGCAAAGATCACTACGGAGGGCCTAAGGATCCAAGGAGTGGCCACGTAGGCATCACCCTCAGTTCACCCCTCAAGCCACCAAGGCCAGCCTCACTTTCCCCACTTCCTGTTGTCCTAGTTTCCCCATCTTCTTCATCTTACTTCATCCCTATGTACAGAATCACACTAGGCCTCAGTCTCCCCTTATGTCCATCTTCTCTTTGTTCTTTGGCTCATCACTCCTCAAATTACCTGATCTGCCCTAGTGAGATTATCTGGATTGCTCCTCCTGGACCAGCTTGCATTCCCCTGGCTTTTCTGGAAGGTGTCTCCTTCCTCCTTACCGCTTTTTCGAAGGTGGCTCTGGGGATCCCAGGGCTCTGTCAATGCTAGGCAAGCACTCTACCACCGAGCTCAGTCTCCAGCCCTTGCTCCTTTCTTGAGAGCTTTTTTAAAAATTGGACATTGATTGATTGATTAATTGGAGGACAAGCCCTGTACATAGTGCAAGATTGTTCTGACTCAGTGAACAACACTGTGGTGCCCAAATGTTCAGTCTTGAAAAGGATACTGTACCGATGTTTTTGAGAAAGATTCCCGTAGCCTGGGCTAGAATCTTGGTTCTGACACTTTTCCAGGTTGATGACCTTGGCTTTTTACCTATTTGAACTCCAGTTTATTCCCTGACAAGGCAGAATTAACAACAGTATGCCCCTGAAGGGCAGCTGATGCCCCAGGGTGGGTAGAGGTACCATTATTGGTGCTGAGGTCATACAGATGGGCTCGCCCTCCATATTCTGTATGGCTTACTCAGAAGCCAAGGTGAGAACATGTATTTCCACAGTAAGAGAACCAGATCAAATATAGGAAAGAGCTGTGGTCTCGAGATGAGACTACCTGTGCTGTGTCCCTGATCGTTCTGGCTGACCTCAGTCAAGTTGCCTAATCTACTTCCTTATCTGTAAAGAGAAATTAATAATACCAACCTCATGGGGTTGCCTGGAGCACGAAGAGAAAATGCATATGAATTAGTTAGCCCAGCACATACCACATAAAGAGGTGGCTATTATTTATAATCACCGAAAATAAAAGAAACGGAGCCAGAAGATGCCTGGGAGTTGAGGCCCAGGAGGAAGGGAAAAGTGGCTTTCTCCTGCCCTACTCACTGGGGCGCTGTATCCACACTGGCTTCCTGGGCACCCGGAATCGCAGCTTAAAGGGAACCAGACATCTGTTTCTGCCTGGTTCCTCTCTTTTCAATCACCAAGAGAGCTGACTTTATTTAATGGCAAGGTTGAGATGTAGGCCTTGCGGTGAGGTTCCCTGAATTTGCAGGCCAGTGGAAGGAGAGACCTCGAGCATCTTTTTCTTACCTGTAAATGGGAGTTTTTATTAGAGGATTACTGGAAAGATCTCATGCTGCTAAATACGTGAACAAGCATCGTGTAAATATTGACTAAATCTGAGTATGCCACTTAGGAGTGTACAGCCACTGTTTGGGCTATAATCGCGTCGGGAGAAAGTATCACATCCCCCTCTTTGCATCTCCCCCAGGGTTGAGCACAGCGCCGGTGCTTGGTAAGCACTCAGTAAATATTGTTGCATTGAAGAGCCATTAAAGTGTCTTAAAGAACGGAAAACAGAATTCGCGAAGCGGCAGCGAGAAGTGTTTATCCAGAACGGCAAAGACGGAAGAGTAACTTTAATAATGTTTCTTGTACGGCAGACATTAACTATCTCTATAATCGCCCCTCCTCCTCTCCCAAAAGAGAGACAAATTGTAAGGGAGAGGCTTTGAGATAAAACCCCAGGAAGAACTTCCCGAGCCTGTGCGTGTTGGGGCAGAAGCAGCGACAGAGCCAACTCCTTCCCTGGTATGTCCGGGTCTAGGGAGGGAGGGGCAGTCCCGCTTAGAGGCTGGGGGAAGGACAAGATGACCTTTCACAATCTCCTCCAGTCCCCTCGAGGAACGGTCTGCGCACCCCACCCCGCCCCTCCTCCTCGCGCGACGCCCCCGACCCCCCCAGGCCCGCACCCCCTGGCGGCCGCCTCCTGCCGCTCTGGGGGTCCCCCGGCCCCGGAGCCCGAGCGCTCAGCCCGCCGCGCCGCGCCGCCCCCCGCATGCTAATGGCCGGGCCGCCTCCCGCCGTACACAATGCGGGCCGGGCCGGGGGCGGAGGGCCGGGGAGGGGCGGGGGCCGGGCCGGGGGCGGGGGGGCCGGGGCCCGGCGCATCTCCCCCGGCCCCACGTAACGCTGACGCCCGCGCCGCCGGCCCGCCGCCGCCGCCGCCCGCGCCGCCGCCCGCCGGGGCTCGTGAGTAGCCGCTCCCCCCGCGCCCCCCCGCCGCCGCCCTCCCCGCCCCTCCCGGAGGGGGCGCGCACGGAGCAGGTGCAGGGGGCGGGGGCGGGGGAGGGGCGCCGCGCGGCCCGGGCAAACTTCGTCCGCAGCTCCGGGGGGCGGGGTGGGGGCGGCGGGGCCGGCGTGAGAGTTGGGGGGTCCGGGGGAGGGGGCCAGGTGGGGGAGCCGGGAGCCGGGCACGGAGGGGAGGCCGCGGCGCGGGGCGGCGCGGGGCGGGGGCGCGCGGCTTTGTAGGGGCCGTGAGGCCGGGCTCGGCGGCCTGGGGTTCCGGGGGGGGGTGAGGGTGCGCGGTGGGGGAGCGGTGAGCGGAGTGCTCCCCCGGCCCAGGTGCAGCGGGTGGGGGTGGGGGACGGAGCCCTAAGTCCCCGGGACCGGGCTGGGCACGGGGGGGGGGAGGGGAGAGGATGGGGGTGCTTCTCTCTGTGTCCCAAACAAAGTGTCACAAAGAGCTCGGCCCGCGGCAGCCGCGGAGGCGGCTGTAACTCTGCTTTTGTTCTCCTGGCCCGGGGTAGCTGAGCTCTGGCCTCCCTATGTCCCAACCCTGCCCCCATCGTCCTCCTTGATTATTTTCCGCGGGTGGAGTGTGGGGTGTGCCGGTGGAGCCCCTCGTGCGAGAGCACAGGTCCTGCTCTGCCTACCAGTTTTCGAGAGGGATATTCTCCCAGAGGGTCAACCACCCACCTTCCAGCCTGGGAACTCAGGCTCTTACAGGCACTAACACTGACTTTTTTTAAGGGCCAGTTCTACTTAGAGGGATTTAAGGCTGTAGATATGCCGTCTCTCTCCCACCCCCCTCTGCCCCAGCTCGGGCTCCTCAGAACTTTCAGAATCGGGGTCAAGTTAGGACATGCTAGAACTTGGGTCTGGGAGAAGATTGTGTGCGGGGGTTGTGCCTCTCTCTCACCTCTCAATAGTTATTTGGGAGCCCATGACTGAAATTTCATGCCCCCCTATCCCTTTTTCAAGAACTCTAAAAAGTGTCGAGGTTCAGTGTAGTGTGTATTTGAAGCAGCTTTCAGAGCAGTGGGGTTCAGAGAGCCACGGAGAGAACGTAAAGTGAGTTGTTGGTCTGTGTGTGTTCTCCGGGTGGTCCTGACTCCGCACAGTCTAATAGCCCCCTTTCGATTTAATCTCATCTGTCGAAGTGGCTCATATTCATTAGCTGATTTAGGAGAGGGGAAATTGCCGACAAGGAAAAAAATTCATGTGTTGGGGATGACCAGGGGCAGAGGCCTACTTACAGCTAGGCCCCAGAGACCCTAATCCTTTGCTACTGAACACTTGACCTTAAAACATTTTGAATCACAAGATTTGGGGTGGGGGAATCTTCTTGGTCCTAGATTTAGCTGATTCTTCTGTAAGTCTCTAACCACCATCCTCCGCAGGATTTGGGGGTCCTACCTTTCCGCATCAGCTCTCCTAGGGTGTAAAGTAATTGGCCTGTTGCTTAGGAAATACTTCTCATGCGTACCTCTGGCCCTGCATCCTGCAAAGATACACACAGGAGCAAGATAACCCCTGATTCCCCCTGGGTCTGGAAAGTAGGTCACTGCTACTCCCTGGCCCGGGCTCAGGGATGGTGTTTAAGCCTTGAGTGTAGAAAAATGCGAGGCTTGTCCACAGACAATACATGTCTGACTTAGGTTGCAAACCAGGTCACACTCTGTCTCTGTTGGTACCCTCCCCTATCGAGAGCAATTTATGAGATCCGGTGCCTGAGACCTGGTTTGATGAAGATGACGGAAGCCATCTTGACTGGGCCTCGGAGGTCTCCGTGGATTTTACTGATTTCAGGCCACCTTCTGGGAAACTTCCCCTGAGGAGAAATTCAACTTCCATCTGGGCCTTCTTGTGTGCCACTGCTCCATCCTGGGAACTGCTACTGCAGTGTGGTTGGTGTTGCTCAGGGAAGGAGGAGGAAGCCGTGCCCTGCTTCTGCTCCTTTTGCCTCAGATATAAGCCATTTTCCTAGGAGACATTTTGTTTAGTGTTTTACAGGCATTATTCTAGGGCCTAGCGTCTTCTCAGGATCAGAATATGCGCCCATAGGTTAGTCAGCTATGACCATGCAATATTCACACACACACACACACACACCCCTCCCAGCCATCTGCTTCCTCTGAATATACCAGATTGGCTGTACACCAGGATGTTCCGGGAATCCCCAGGAAAGCAACAGAATGTGATGGACTCAAATACGATACCTCAGTAACTCATTCCAGGATGTACCAACTGTAACTGTTATGACAGTCTGTATAGCTAATTAAAATTTTTCTAGGTATGTGCATTTTCTATTCTATTTTCAGTGGCATCCAAAAGGCCACAGTCATTCCCCTGATACCCCTCCATGGTTTCTCTGACACTCTATACTTCCTAAATAGGATTTTTTTTTCCTCATCCACTAGTTTCTGTGTCCTCTCTTTGGTGGGCACACTGCCTCTCTAACACTGCCCAGTTGTGTCTGTGATTCTGAGGTGGCCAAAGTGGTGTCTCTGGTAGCCCACTGCACTCTCCATGGTACTGAAGGAGTGGCTATTTGTTTAACATTTCTTGGGGGCCAGAAGAGTGTTGTGACTTAAAACCACACAACTTTCAAGTTGGCAGGGACTACAAATGTAAATTTATTGTAATTCATTTCATAGACCGTAAACTGAGAGATGAGGTGACTTATTCATGGTTGTAAGACATAGACTTACAATGGCCTTGTACCCCTTAGTATCTAACTCACCTTTATGCAACTTTGAGTGAGGCTGGTCAGGCTGTTGGTCCCAGGAAAGGGTTTATTTGGAGGCTCCATAGGACAAGAGTGGCTGAATTTGGAGCTGCAGAAACACACATGTTAAGTGGTCGTCTAGAGATGCTTGGGCAGGACATTTTTTTAATTTGTCTGTTAATGCTCCAAGGTCAGATTCCGCATGTAACAGGTGTCTGCCCCTCCGTAGAGTCTTGCCACTCGGCTCAGTGCTGAAAATTAATGCAGCTTCGAAGCCCCAGAGTTGTCTTTGCTGATAAGCAGGGATAACTCCTGGCCCAGTTTGCTTCAATTAAAGATTTGTAAGCAAAGTAAGGCTTGAGTTCTTTTCTTTCCTAGTAACCCATTTCAGTTTCATAATTCTCACGGCAAGGAAGTTCTTTATCAAATATTATGTCTGAGGTTAAATTAAAGAAAGCTAGGCCCAAGTTCATCTGGGCTGAACAAGATACAGTTCTGTATGGAAGGAGGAAGGTAGTTACGACTTCTGGCCATCCACTGAAGTCTAATTCCTGACCCTGTCAGCCGTGAAATGGCAGGAGAACCTTCTCCTCACCATCCTCTTCCCTGCCCTGTGCAGCACTTGTCAGGGATAGGGAATTTTAGATGGAGAATTTTAACCCCTTCCTGCTCAGAGTATGTGTGGATCCCCCTATCTGTGCAGATGGCAAGGCCCCGCCCCCCGTCCCTCACTCCAGCCTCTTGAGCTCAGAGCCAGTGTAATCCTCCTCTTGTGTGAGGAAGCCTCTCCCCTGCAGAGAGGAGGAAAGCCTGCCTCGGAACAGCTCTGGACAAAGGGGCTGAGATGCCCCATCAAACCACAGGCTCCAAGGTTTGAAACGGGGTGAAACCTAAATGGGATTTGCAGTTTAAACCCCTTGCCTAGGCTGGTAGTGCCCCTTAACTTCCACGCCTCCCCCAACTCTCTTCACTCCCTCTGTAGCTGGCTCTCCCTCCATGCCCCTCCCCCTCTGTCTCCAGACTCTGCTGCTGGGAGGTGTTTCTCTCCCATGCATGAATGAGTCTCTGTAATGAATGGAAATGAATGGATCAGGAATCCGGGAAGGGGGAGGGGGAGGAGGAAAGACCAGAAGACTGGGTGCCGGCAGAAGCTAGGAAGAGGAACCTGGAGGGATTTGGCCGGCTGGCCCCGGGTCTGAGAGGAGCTGGTACCACTTGGATAATAGGAGTATGGCTAGCCCTCCGCATTTGTTTATCCAGTGGCACAGCCCCGTGCGAGTGGAAGAGGGGTATACTATGATGGCCTCCCACATCGTGTGTGTGCTGGGGGGTGATGGTGGTTCTGGACTAGGTGTTTAAAACATCATTTGGGGGCGGAGCTCTGGGTTTGTCATACAGATTGGCAGGTCAAGGGGTGCAAGTTTTGAAGACAGCAAATAGGAAGCATGTGATACCTCAAGATCCACGTAGGAAGAAGGGATGGGTTTTAAGAATACAGGCTGCAAAGTGGGGTGACTTTACTGCTGAGAGCCAGGGCTCATCTTTCCTCCGATCAATCTGTCTTGTTTTAGCACCTCCGCACCTGTTGCCTCCATTAGCAGCTTTCCTTCCTCCTCCTTCCAATCCTCAGAACCAAAGAATGTGAAGGGGGTCCATGGAGGTGAGTGGAGCACTGTCCTTGACCCGCAAGTTCCTTCGACGGTACCCCCTCTCCTACCTACATTCTTACTTCCAATTATAGTAATAGATGCTATTACCTTGGCCCCAGTATCTTAACTTCCACCCATCCCACAACTTCTGGAGGTGAGCGGCACCAGTGTTCTCAGGTCAGGCCCCAGTCTACCACACACTCTTATTTTCCGTTCTTGATGCCTTTGCATTTTCCATAGATCGGCCCTTCCCACCCTCTCCTCTACGTGCATCTTTCCCCACAGGGCTCACGTCCCCGCATCTTGGTCGGCCACCTAGAGCCTTCCCCGCCAGCTTTCGACGGCGAACTGGATCTGCAGCACTACTCCAACGGACCAGGTGTGAGCGCCGGGTCTCCTGGGATGGGAGCAGTGGGCTGGTCTGAGACTCGTGCAGGTGAACGGCGATTCCCCTGTCCTGTGTGCGGAAAGCGATTCCGATTCAATTCCATCCTGGCTTTGCACCTGCGAGCACACCCGGGCGCCCAAGCCTTCCAGTGCCCACACTGTGGCCACCGAGCAGCTCAGCGGGCTCTGCTTCGCTCACATCTTCGAACGCACCAGCCCGAGCGCCCACGAAGCCCTGCTGCACGGCTGTTGCTGGAGTTGGAGGAACGCGCCCTGCTCCGTGAAGCCCAACTGGGGAGAGCCAGAAGCTCAGGGGGCATGCAGGCCACCCCTGCTGCAGAGGGCCTGGCGCGCCCTCAGGTTCCTTCTTCGTCTGCCTTCCGTTGCCCTTTCTGCAAAGGCAAGTTTCGCACCTCCGCGGAGCGGGAACGCCACCTGCATATTCTGCATAGGCCCTGGAAGTGCAGCTTGTGCAGTTTTGGTTCCAGCCAGGAGGAGGAGTTGCTGCATCACAGTCTGACGGCCCATGGGGCTCCCGAGCGCCCCCTGGCGGCTACTTCTACACCCGAGCCCCAGCCTCCACCCCAGCCAGAACCCAGGTCTGCCCTTGAGCCTGAGCCAGAGCCTGAACCTAGGCCAGAGCCTGAACGGGAGGCAAACCCTACCCCGACTCCTGCACCTCCGGAGGAACCCCCGGCGCCACCTGAATTCCGTTGCCAGGTGTGCGGTCAGAGCTTCACACAGTCCTGGTTTCTCAAGGGTCACATGCGCAAGCACAAGGCCTCCTTTGATCATGCATGCCCTGTGTGTGGCCGCTGCTTCAAGGAGCCCTGGTTCCTTAAGAACCACATGAAGGTGCACACCAGCAAACTGGGTCCTTTGCGTGCCCCGGGGCCTGGCTCTACTCCTGCCAGGGCCCCTCAGCCTCCTGACCTGAGCCTGTTGGCTTATGAGCCACTAGGCCCTGCGCTTCTCCTGGCCCCAGCGCCCACCCCAGCTGAGCGCCGAGAGCCCCCAAGCCTCTTAGGCTACCTGAGTGTGCGAGCTGGGGAAGTACGACCCAATGGTGAGGGTGCTGACCCTGGAGCAGGCCGAAGCTATGGGGGATTCCGCCCGCTGCCTTCAGCTCTTCCCAATCGGGCTCGGCGGCACCGTACAGACGAACCGGAGGAGGAAGAAGAGGTGGTAGAGGCAGAAGAGGAGAGCTGGGCCCGGGGCAGGTCGCTGGGCACTCTGACTTCCCTGCATCCCCACTCAGGTGAGGGGTCAGGACAGTCTGCACCTGCCGTGGGGGCCCAGGCAAGATCTACAGCCACCCAAGGTAGGTCCACACTATTTACCTCTTGGTCGCCTGCTTTTAGTTAACACTTGGGCCACCACTCCTGTAGTTTCCTTTTCAAAAGACCTGTCTTCACAGTCTTCTGGGCTTTTCCCTACTGGGCAAACCCTGTGTAAAAAGGTGTTAGCTCTTAACAAATCTACGTTCCCCTAAACCTCTTGGGTCCAGAGAGGTGGTGGGTATAATGGGTGCCGGGCTGGGACAAGACATTGAGACCCTGTAACTTCCGCTTAACGTGTTGCAGAAGAAAATGGGCTGCTGGTTGGAGGGACCCGATCCGAAGCTGGCCGCGGGGCCACTGGCAAGGACTGCCCCTTCTGTGGAAAGTCTTTCCGCTCGGCACATCACCTGAAAGTGCATCTTCGCGTGCACACAGGTGAGGGAAGCGTTCTTCATGGGGGCGGGTCTAGGAGCAAGAGAGGCTTGCGGTGGAGGTCATGCTGCAGTCTTCAGATGGGCCAGCTTTCAGATTCATCTAAATCACTTAGTGGGGAATCGGCTTCTAAGCTTTGGGGTGAAGTTTGTAAATTGAGTAAAATGTCGTGTGCATGTGTGTATGAGTATGTGTGCACGCACAGTGATAGTGACCCCATGACCTACTCTGACCCACTCTTCCCAGGTGAGCGTCCCTACAAGTGTCCACATTGCGACTATGCAGGCACCCAGTCGGGCTCGCTCAAGTATCACCTTCAGCGTCACCATCGAGAGCAGAGGAGCAGCGCAGGTCCTGGACCTCCTCCAGAACCCCCGCCCCCTTCCCCGCGGGGCTCAGCCTCACTGCAGCCGCAGTCGGGAGCCAAACCAACTCAGGCCTCTGCCACCTGGGTGGAGGGCGCTGCGAGTACCAGGCCTCTTTCGAGCAGCACCGGACCAGGGTCCCGAAGAAAGCCTGCCAGCCCTGGGAGGACCCTGCGTAACGGGAGAGGTGGTGAGGCCGAGCCCCTGGACCTGTCCCTACGGGCAGGCCCAGGAGGTGAGGCCGGGTCAGGGGGTGCCCTTCACCGCTGCCTCTTCTGCCCCTTTGCCACTGGAGCTCCTGAGCTCATGACCTTGCATCTGCAAGTACACCACAGCCGTCGAGCCCGGGGCCGCCGGCAGCCCCGAGCTGACACATCTCCACCCTATGTCCGAGCACCGTCAGGAGAGACACCTCCCAGCCCGCCACTAGAAGAGGAGGGCAGCCCAGGGCTGTCTAGATCTGGAGAGGCAGGTCTTGGGGGGCAAGAACGGTAGGAGTGCCCTCTTAGGAATGATTAGCTTAGTAAGCTTACCCCGCAGGAGCGGGGAAGCGCTAGAGGTAGTTGGGTAGAGCAGCCAGCAGGGAGCAGTGTGGGACCCGTACCCCAGCCCAAGGTGGACCAAGAGGTAAAGAGGGCAGTGGGTGAAGGACGGTGGGCAGGCAGTATCCACCCAGCCCAGGGGAGTCACAGTGCCTTAGAAGTGGCAGAGGTGAGGGTCAGAGAACGGGGTCCTAGGGCTGGTAGAGGATGCGCTCCTGCTGAGGAGCCGCCCTGCCAGCCTCCGCTGGTCCATAGGCTCGAGAGTTTATTTTTGTATAAGGGGTGGGGGTGGGGGGCACTGTACCCTTCTAGCCCTGTCAGGGGCCCTGTAGACGTTGCTATTTTTGGTACGATTCCTGTCATCCCTGTTGAAGAGTCATGTCCCCAATAAACAGGTGTCTTGAGGCACAAGGCCCTGTGTGTCTGCCTGTGTTTCGCTCTCCCTAAAGCGCTTCATTATCAATGAGCTCCAACGGGATGCAGACTTGAGATTCAGGAGCTCTGGATGGGGATCCTCCTCCACCGTAGCTTGAGGACATCACTAGATAATTACTGGATTATGCTGGACCCATCTGATCATCTCAGCCTCAAGAAGTAGGTGCAAAATGGAGGAGGGACTTCAAAGAGCCCATTGAATTTCTTAGACCCTCTGAGGGGGAGGCACGTCCTCCCACACTATCAGCTTTGGGCCAGTAAAGGGCAGAACCGCTACTTTATGGCCTTGGTTTTATTTTCTGAGTCCTAGTTGGAGCTTCATAGGGAAGAACTCGAGTTAGTTCAAACACCGTAATCCAGAGGCCTGCTCTAGCCCTTGGGAGGCACAGTGAGAGCAAATACATTTAATATAACAATAGTATAATAACAGTAATTACATATATAAAGTCTGCAATGCCCACCCATCTCCTTCAATGGCTTATAACACTTCATTTCCCACGATACCCCAGAATGGGGTTCCATTCGACCTGGCAGAGATGAATCTCCTGGGAGAGTCAGGGACGAGAAGAGAGGTGGCGGTCAGCAGAGCCTGTCCTGCGGTGTGCATGGCACAGGTGGGAATGTGCGAGAAGGGATGTTTCCCTGCTCCCGGGGGCAGAAAGCAAGCTCCAAGCAAGGGAGAGCTAGAGAGAGCAGCCAGCGACAGGGGACGCTCTGGTCCTTGCCCCCCTCTGTCCAGGAAGCAGAGGGAGGGAAATGAGACCTCCATTCTGTCCCATTGGCATCTCAGCCTAAAACGTGCTGACAGGGGCGCAGCCAAGTGCTGGATCTTCTCTGGAAGCCAGGAGAGAAGAGGGAGATGGGTTGGAGAGGCAAGTGCTGGATCTTCTCTGGAAGCAGGAGAGAAGAGGGAGATGGGTTGGAGAGGCAAGAAGCTGACTCCCATGCACCGGAGGCCAGGAAGGAAGGCACGCTGGATGTGGAAGAAGGGTGGCTGACTTACCGCTCACAGAGGCGTGGTGGGGTCACTCAGGGCTCGCGAATGACTCTGAGGACACAGAAATGGCACTGGGTTTAGACATTTCTCTATTGCGTATGTCTCTCCCTGCTTCTTAAGGCTTTTTTTTACCTCTGACCTTGATGCTTCTCAGCCAGGCCTGGGGAGAGGAGAAAGGCAGACTGGATAATAAACCCAATCTGTGGCATCAGCTGAGAGGAGCAATCTCTAGTTCCTCTATACTCCCCAATGTCGAATGGTCAGAAAAGCCTACCCAGAAAGAGAGCACCCGCTCCCAGCCTTACTGCAGGGACTTACCTGCCGGGAGAGCCCTAAGATCCCTCCACTGGCCAAAGAGGGAGTGCTGCTCCCAGGGTGCGGGGGCTGCAGGCTGGGGCCGGTTCTTGGTCCTGGGGACCCATCTCCAGAAGAGTCAAGTGTTTCTGAGGCTGGAGGGGAAGCTAGGGTAAGAGTAGGCATAAAACCCTTCCAGATTACCTTAAACAACCAAGCTCCTCCGACAACAGGGAGCTGCAAGTCACCATAGCAATCCACTTGCAAGAGAACCCCCCCCCCCCACCAAGAGGCAGGAAACTGTCAGCAGCATCATTAGAGCAACCAGGGAAGAAGCGACAGGAAACTAAGAATTGCCGTGGTGAACCGGGAGGGTACAACAGGAAGCTGAGGCAGTTTCCATAGAAACTCAAGGAGAGCTAGAGAGAAAGGTACAGAAGAAGTGCTTCTTAGCAAAAGGCTGCTGTAAGCATCTCCCTAGCAACCAGATGGAAGGCTCTTTTAGCAACGGGAAGCTGTATGTAGTTGTCATGGCAACTGGGCTACTTGGCTAGAAAAAGGAATTGCTTAGCAATAGGCAGCGGTTGGGGGCCACCCCTTGAGAGGCGCCTCACCCAGGGAAATCTGCTTGACGTCCAGATCCCAGGCCTCCTCCTCGACGCGGGCAGGCAGGGAGCAGGCTCCCGGCGAGAGGCCGGGAAGGGACGGGCCAGCATGCTCAAAGGATGATACCGCTACGGAGGCCCGAGTGCGGGCGGCTGCAGAGAGTGGGGTGGTGGGGTGCTGGTGTGGAAAAGTCCTCCTGGCTCCTGGAGGAGTCCCACATTTTGGGAAGAGTTGCCCACTCAGGACTCAGTATCCTTCCTAAAAACTCCCCTTTGCTTTAATATCGTTGGTCAAGGCCCGACTGGGAGCAAAGCCCCGCCCCCCTGCACCCTGGACCTTACCTCTTCCGGTGAGCAGGGCACTCAGTGTCCGTTCTCCTAGGGCTTTAATGTCCAGGAAAGGTTTATTCCCAATGCCCATGGAAACCATCTGCTGCACGCGGAGCTCTAGGGAACAGAGACCCTGTTTGCAACCTTCTCTCTCGGCCCTCCTGCCTCAGGGTTAGCACACTGCTGTTGACTCTCTTACCCTCCCCTTCTCCCCTTCCTTGACCAGCACGGCATAGACAGTGAGAGTGATGTTTGGCCTCTTCAGACATGCATCTGTTCATCCTGTCCATTTGGCCTCCTAGCCACCTGGTGTGTGTGTGCATTTGCACATCTGGTGTGGATGAGGCATACACATTTGGAGGTTAGAGGGCACACTGGGTGTCAGTTGATCTTCATTTTCCACTGTGTTTATGGCTGACCTCTTGATTGTTTTTGGTGTGCATATGCCAGGATGGCTGCATGGCAAGCTTCTGGAGGAAATTCCTGTCAGTTTCCCATGTGCTCTGTAGCAGTGATGGGATTACAGATGTCCCTGTTACTACATTTGCAGTACTGCTGGCTTTTGTGTGGGTTCAGGGATTTGAACTCGGGTCTTCACATTTGTATGACAAGCACTTTTCATGGAGCACTCAGCTGCCCTTTATCATAGACATTAAGAGCAAAACTCATGCTTTTGTGCATCTGCGTGGTTTGTCAAGTGCTTCTATATGTGTCACCTACTCGACCCTCCATCACGCTGAGCTGAAGAGAGCACTGCCTTTTTCAGATTGATAGAATGATTCAGAAAATCACAACAACAACGAAACCCAAAGCCCAGTACCAACCAACAACAAAGAAAAACTATTGGTCTGGGTCACACCAGTCCCCCTGAGCCCAGTCCAGTAAGCAGTTCTGCACCTCTTGTGGAGACATTTGCTCTTTCCCTCGGAATTTCTAGCTTTCTCTTTCCTTAAGGATAGTTCTGTCTCGGCCATAGCTCTTGCTTGAACCAGCCCTTGAGCTGTCTCTGAAGGCATCTCCATACTCCAAGCTCCACCCATCTATGTCCGCCCATCACCTTTGTTGTGGGCTGCCTGTCTCCACAGTAGCTGGGCAATAGAACTTGTCCACTTGAGTTTGGTCTCTGGAGAGGCAGCCTGCAAAGTGTATGCTTCTCGTGTGCGCCGTCGCCGAAACCATAGCTCAAAACAGAGCCCACTCTCCCCGATGTTTTCCGTCAGCCCCATGTCAGCAGTCTGAGGGAGGGCAGGAGAGACAACCCTGACTTACAGAAGGAAAAGAGGGCTCACGGAGACACGAAGCAACTGTCTCAAGAGCTTACCAGGGTATTAGAAAGGATACACCCCATGTGTATGCTATTCCAAACACAGACCTTTGCCTCTGCCCTACTTCTGAAGAGCTGGAACTAACGCAGGACAGTTTGGAAACCGTTAGTATTATTCCACCTGACCCAGGACTGTGGGCTGCTATAGATGCTTATATTTGGTTACTGCCCAAAGCAAGACCTGTCTCTTGAGTTCTATCTACTTCAGTGAAGTTAAGGGGTGTCTGTGTAACGTCCTTTCTCTACACATACCAGGTACCACCTTTAATTCAAAACACAAGTGTAAGTTTTTTGTTTTTTGAGACTGGATTTCTCTGTGTAGCCCAGGCTGGCCTGGAACTCAGAGATCCACCTGTCTCTGCCTCCCGAGTGCTGGGATTGAAGGAGTGCGCCCACCACCACCCAGCAGGCATATGTGTTCTCATTCGGAAGGTCTTTTTCCATTCTGTCTTGAAATGCCTCCATAAGTCTTCTGAAACCCTAAAATTGACGACTAATTAGAGACCAAAATCTATTTTAGGTGATGGAGATTCTGAACCTGTTTGAGGTTAAACTTCCAGAATATCCTGAGTTCTTATGAAGACCATGGCTCAGTATCCCTACTTTATGCCATATGTACCTTGAATGCCTGCTTGTAGGTGAAGGTCTCAGATCCCCCCTCAGAGCCCTTGAACTTGCTGAACAAGAGCAGGTCCTCGAAGAGAAAGACGTGGCGGAGGCACTTTTTCCGGCCACAGAAGACGGTGAATGGGTCCCGATGCAGGAGCTGTCCCTGTTCCTTCAGATCTAGCTGGAGAAAGGAGAAGGGACGGCTGGTTAGGGGCCTTGGTCAGGGAGGGCTTCAGCCTAATCCTATCGCTGCTTCTCATGACCAACTGCCTAGCAGCCGCCGTTCCTCCGAGTCCATGCCCAGCCTGTCATGGTGAAGTCTTTGCGTACTGGAGATGCAGAAAGAAAGCCAGCAAAGAACATGGGTACGTTCATCTAAACCAGCGGTTCTCAACCTTCCTAGTGCCGAGACACGTGACCCCCGCAACCATAAAATTATTTTCGTTGCTACTTTATAGCCATAATTTTGCTACTGTTATGAATTGTAATGTAACTATCTGTGTTTTCTGATGTTCTTAGGCAGCCCCCATTGAAAGGGTCATTTGACCTTGGAAGGGTCACAGCCCACGGGTTGAGAACCACCGAACTAGAGGGAGTACAGTTCTAGCCTGATCCGGAATCAGTGTGGGAAAGAGATCAGGTTGAGGAAGAAGCAGTAGGCTAGACACGTATAAACAGACAGGCAAGAAGAACCAGGAAAGGAGCGGACAAGCACAGGGCTCATGTAGAACAGAGGGTGTTGGACATAATTGAGGCAATAAAGAACAGTCTAGGGCCCTCAGACTTAGGGTCTGCTTTTATGGTCACAGCCTACACTGT